TTAAAAAAAAAAAAAGAATAAAATATATTTTTAAGCAAATTGAAATCAAATAAAATATTTAATTCGACCTCCTTAGTGAACTTAATCTTTTCGGCGAACGCCCCCGTTACTTAAAGGTTCACTGAATAGATAGTTCACTGTATTTAAAAAAACAACGCTCGCCCGTTAAAAGGAGGTCGCGACAAATTGCCGTTATTCCTTTATTTCTGAAAATTCTTCGGTTCTCCCTTTCGACCCACGCTATTATTTTCCGCCCAAGCGTCACTTCGTTTCGCGAATTGTTTGTGGTCAGTGCGGCTGTGTATAAAATTTGTGTGTTTACAAAATATTGCTTTGTTTGTTTATTTGCTTCGATTTTAAAATGTCCCTACTAACAAAGGCTGCTAAATTGCGTGCTAAGCGTGAAGCTGCACGATTATTTTCAGCTATTTACGAGACTGAGGAGTCAACAATTGTTGCCAGCTCGTGTGAAAGAATATGCTTAGATGTTTGTAAAGAAACAAAAGAGTGTAATAATGTGCCTGTTATTGTTGATACTAATGCACCTGACGAAGTAGATGTTGCTATACCTGACGTATGTATTGATTTACCTGACGAAACAGATGGAGATTTTGACAACATTTATACTAGTTCTGACGAGAGTAGTGACAGCGATAGCCCAGAGACTTTCGCTGAGCAGTTAAGGCGGTGGGCCATAAAAAATAACATTGCCAATAATGTTTTGAACGAACTTTTGGTAATATTAAGAAATAATAACATGAATGTGCCCAAAGATTCTAGAACCTTGAAAAAAACTCCTAAAGAAGTTGTAGCCCGAAATATGGGGGACGGCTTTTATACACATTACGGTTTGTCTGACGCGCTTACAGACTTTTTAATGGTAAATGACTATGAGTCAGAAATAATAAATATGGATGTAAATGTTGATGGCTTGCCATTATGTAAGAGTTCGTCAAAAAATGTTTGGCCCATATTATGTAATGTTCCTGGTTATCCAGAAGTAATGTTGATAGGTGTTTACGAGGGTTATTCAAAGCCGAAAAACGCTGACGAATACCTGAGTGAATTTGTAAATGAAGTAAAGGAACTTGCCGAAACTGGGTTCGCATACAAAAACAAGATGTACAGTTTAGGGATCAGATGCTTTATTATGGATGCTCCAGCCCGATCATTTGTTTTAGGAATAAAAGGACATTCAGGTTATTATTCTTGCACAAGGTGCCTTCAAAAAGGGGAAATGGTTAAAAATCGAGTTGCTTTTTTAAAAATTGGGATGGACCCTCATCGGGATAACAACTCATTTAGAAGCAGAAGTCAACCTGAACACCACAACAAAAAAGATTTAACTGTTTTAGAAATACTTTCTATCGATATTGTTAAACAAGTTGGGTTGGACTACATGCATATTGTTTGCCTTGGAGTAGTAAGGACTCTCCTTAAGTCTTGGGTAAAGAAAAAAGGAGAACAGTATTCCTTACCCTCATGGAAAATTGGTGAGCTTTCAAGCGAACTAAAAAATTTAAAAAAATCTTGCCCGTACGAATTTTCTCGTAAGTCTAGGTCCTTGGACGAGCTTGATCGTTTCAAAGCCACGGAACTTAGACAATTTTTGTTGTATTATGGGCACTTTAACACTTTTTAAATTTATCCCTAGCAATACGTATATTGTTAAATAGCAATTGTTCTTTGGCAGATATTAAAATGGCCCAAAATCTCTTAATAGGTTTTGTAATAGAAGTATCCTCGTAATATGACCCTTGCTTCATGACTTGTAATTTTCATTATTTGCTTCATATTCACGAGGAAACAATAAGCGCTTTCCGTTTTGAAAATTACCTACAAACTATAAAAAAACAGGTTAAAAAATCAAACAATGCTGCTGCCCAAATTTACAACAGACATGTTGTAAAGAGTTATACCCTCAAAAGGAAGCAAAAAAACGCTGATATAATATTTGGTCGACAACTTTCTGATAACGAGGAACTGTATAGTTTTTTAAAAACTAATAACTTTTACTTCTCTGTTGATTTGCCTAACAATATTTGTTATGTCAATGAAAATGTTGTCCTTATTAACAAAATTAAAAAGATAGAAAATGTTCCGTTTTTTGAAGGTAAAATTATTATTAACTTACAACCACTTTTTGATCAACCTTACAATTCATCAAATTTTGGTATTTTTAAAGTAGATGAGATGATGAAATGAAAGTATTAGCTTTAACCTTAGCAACATTAAAAACAAAGCAATAATATTAAAAAACACACAAAACACTTTCGCTATTTTTCCCTTCGTGTAGAAAATAAAAAAAATGGATTTTAACACCGGTGCAGGTAAGTATTAATTGTATCAGTTAATGTTTATTTATATTCCAAAACCAACTATTTCATAAAAAATTAAACAAAAATACAAGTTGTATGGAAACTAAATAATTAATTAATTAATTAATTAAATTAATGCTCTCTAAAAATTATTCGGCCCAAACTTTATTTTTTTTGCAGATTTCTAAAGTTTGGGGCAAATAGTTTTTTGAGTGTATACATATTACACAATAATAATTTTTATATTTTAGGAAATTCTTATCCGTCTCAATTTGACGCAATTTCGCCCCATAGTAAGTGTATAAGTCTTAATAACTTTTGGAAAAATTTCAGATTACCTCTTTGAGAGGATATTGAAGGAACTGGACCTGAGTCGACACAGGGAAGACCAAATTTTAAAAGAATTGGAGGAAAGTAGGCGCAGGGAGGAAGGTACCCAAAGGCTGCTGAAAACGCTTACGGAGGAGGTTTTTATGCTCCGTGGCGAAGTTAGACAACTTAAGTCCTTACCGGTTCCGGAGCCTGTGGCCAATAATCTTCAAATGCTGCCCTTCGAAACCCTGCCCGATTTCCAAGATTTCGACCAAAAACTTTTGAATGAGGATGAAATGCGGAGAGAACTGGTAATTTACTTATATTGCATGCCGTTTACGATTACCTGATAAATAATTTTGGCCTTTTTCTAGAAATCAAAGCTAAAAATGGTTGGAGGAAATGATGTTCCCACATTTACAAGGCTGGCTGTCAAAGCAGTTATATCGGACAAGCTGGCTGTGGACATAACGTGGCGGAGAACTCTGGAGAAACCCAGCATCCAAATGTTCTCAACATATGCGATTATTAAAGGTAACGCCCCAAAGTGTATTTTTATTTTGACTGAATAAAAACCCATTTTTGTTTCTGTTCCTTTTAGAAATGGCTATTAGTAAATTTCCAACGTCAACGGAGTTGGACATAAATAAAGTTATTCAGCAGTATTTCCTACATGCCAGAGACCGTATTTACAAGCGTCAAAAGCCCTTATAAGAAAAATAAAGGCAAACCGAGATAAATAAGTCAAATGAATATTTTTTATTTTTTGATTTTCCAATTGGGAGAGAATCTTCTAGGTATCATCTACAAGCGTCTGTTATGTCACTTCTGAGTTACTTCTAGAAGTGACTTCGGCGACACTTCCAAAAGTTACTTCGGCGATATCGCATTCGTATCGCGGAAGTGACTCCCGTCGGGAAGAAATGTGCCACTTCGGCGACACTTCTAGAAGTGACTTCGGCGACACTTCCAGAAGTTACTTCAACGATATCGCATTCGGATCGCGGAAGTGACTCCCTTCGGGAAGAAATGTGCCACTTCGGCGACACTTCTCGGAGTCACTTCGGCGACACTTCCAGGAGTGACTTCGGCGACACTTCCAGAAGTAACGCAGAAGTGACTTCGAGAAGTGTCGCCGAAGTGGCACATTTCTTCCCGACGGGAGTCACTTCCGCGATCCGAATGCGATATCGCGGACGATCGTTTTCATCTTCTTGAAGTCACTTAATAGTGCCTTCCGCGATAGAAAATGCTTGCAGGGCGTATAGGTAGCCCCTTAAACCCCTTGGTGAGCTTGATTGTGAATCTATCGAATTGTTGTTGCAATTGGCATATTTTCTAGTAGGCACATTTCTGTATAATTTGTATTATATCGATAGTTCTTATATTATCGACTTGTCGATATCCAGGTTTGCCCATCGTTAAAATTTTGACTAGCACGCCAGTCAGGTTCGATTGCTGCTGGGTGAATTTGTTCATTGCGCAGCTATGCTGCGTATTTTATATTTATTGATAAGTCTTTTTAACGGTGTGAACTTTTGTTACACTCTTTCGCTAGTCACTTACAGCAACAGCATTCGGTTTTACTTAGAATTAAATTTTGAATTTGTTATAATGTACTCTTTTTTTAGTCCTTTGATTCGTTATCTACGTAGGCAACATTTTCTGCCAGCCCTTTTTTAATATCTTTCTGCTGGCAGTCCTTCAAACAAGGTTTAGTTTGATTGGATTTCATTATTATTTTCTAGAAACAAAGTGGACTGGGACAAATCAGAACCCCTTCGGTTTCAAGCCCGTTTCATTCTGGACTTGTTAAGTTTTTGAGACATTGGTTGCACGTACTTAAACTTAGAGAGTTATACAAATTGGAAAACGCTTTCGATCAAGTTCACACGGATGGGCGTATTTTATATATATGGACAAAAGTCCACCGGTAAGTGGAAGACGAGGTTGCAGATGCACTCTCGGTATCGATGTAATCCGATGTATCCGTCTCATCGTACATCACCTTTAAGTGTTATTCCTCGCTGCATTCATCTGGATGAGATTGGCCAACCACCACCACTCACCATTTACCGCTGTCCAATCCGCAATTCTGTTTTTTTAATAGTTCCTAAATCTGCAGTCCACAATCACTAGTATTACAAAAGATACCTTCACAAATTTAAAGTGGCGTATACAGGAGGTGCTCTTAAACGGTGGACCGATCGCTTTGGCCTCTCGGAGTAGCCAGTGATTGTAAGATCGTTTTTCTTACAAAAACATAAATTTTATTACTCATTTGAACACTTAATGAAACATGCGGTTGAAATGTTTTATCTAGGAAAATTTAATTGGAATAGTTTCCAACTTAATCTAAATTTATTACTACTATTTTTTATTTGGCTAAGTTTCCAAAAGGCATTGTGTTTGAAATCCTTGTTGTTTCGGATTTTGATTAGATGTATTTCTAACGGAGTCGTTGTCACCTCCTCGCCAGCATCTGGTGTCTGCGTTGCCTTCTTTTTAGTGCAGCAAAAATTCTTTACGCACCGCATTGCCTTCTGCAGCGCCTTTTCGGGGGGCTCCGAGGGCTCCATCAGAGCGATTGCATCTAGTGTTAGAAATTAAAAATTTGGTTTAAAAATAGAACGAGACGAGAATAACAACGAGTGACCGAAAGTAATAAAAGATACGTTATTTTTGTCATTTAAAGTAAAAACCCCAGAAGTCTTTTAAATATTAAACTTACAAACAATAGTCACTTTCGGCCCCAATAAAAACTTACTTAATAAGGCGCGGACGAAATTTGGGCACACTTTCAGCTTCTTCTTGTTCTGGCTCCCATTGTAGTTGTGGGACAGAACAAGTTCCTCTGAATTCACGTTCAGAATGGAACGGCTTGCCTAAAAATATAAGAAAATATTAAAAAACAAGGAAGAACGCTATAGTCGAGTACCTCGACTATCAGATACCCGTTACTTAGCTAAATGGAGATATGCACGCAGCAAAGCGAGATTAAAATGCGCCACCTACCGGCGGTAGACAGATCTAAACGTTATGGGCGAGTGGGCGTGGCAATTTTTTTTTATCAATCGATAGGTATTGACGAGACCAATACATTTCAGTTAAAAATCCGGACAGACAGACAGACGGACATGGCTAGATCGACTCGGCTAGTGATCCTGATCAAGAATATATATACTTTATGGGGTCGGAAACGCTTCCTTCTGCCTGTTACATAGTTTCCGACGAATCTAGTATACCCTTTTACTCTACGAGTAACGGGTATAAATAGTAGTAATAAACTTAGATTAATTTGAAAATTAACCCCTTCAATTGAAAACATACCACGGGAGAGATTCGATTCCGATTGCGCAGATGGAAGCAGGTCGAATGGAGTGCCCATTCACCAATAAAAATGCCTTGCCTATCGAAAAATTCCTAAAATACCGAATTGTGGGATTATAGACTGAAGCCAGATTTTCATTATTCGGTATTAAGCATAGCTCGCAAATAACACTTAACCGTTTTTTGTTTTGTGGTCTGCACTCTAACACAACCTCTCAACAGACACCTGAGTCTCCGGTGTAGCCAGTACAACGTGTGCGGGCGCATTCAGGTGTGGCGACTGCAGCTTTATATCGGTAAAAAACTGCAAAATGTTCGTATTTAGTGGCAAACGTCCATGCATAAGGTCGAAATTTTCTATGTCAGCATAGATTTGGATCAGTTTTTTAGATGCAGGCTCTTCTTTAATTTCGGATATTGTCTGTACGCCCTCCAAATAGGCGGAACACAGAGACTCCTCTTTGTTAGCACATTTATCACCGTCGGATGTTAGCTCCTTCTTCCGGTCTTGGATATCAACCTCCCATGATGGCGCACTTTGTGTTGGGGAATGCACCTTAAATAAAAACTAAATTAGAACATATTTTTTGCAATGTTAGTTTAGTACAAGTGTGAGTTTTTGACATGGACAATATACATTGCTAAAACATTTAAAAGCAATTAACAACAATAAAACAGGACCTAAACTTCAAACACACGTAGCCTTACTTACTTTAGCTCGAATGTTATTTTTTTTACATTTAGCTTTGCTAAGCATTTTTGCTGGTCATTTAAGATGCAATAAACGCGTGGATCAATGTGGATTGCACCTAACACCGCATCATTTTCAAGTAACTCACATTCTCGAATTTTGATCTATCCCATTATTTTTTTAAAATATAATTTTGGCTGTTCTCGCACTTTAGTTTAAGCTCCATCCATATTATAAAGAATTCGCGGTATACTAATTTTTTATTCTGCAACTTTGAGGTCGCTTCGTATGTGTCCTTGAACCCGTCAATATATACCTCCTTCCAAACTCAGTCCGCATTAATACTAATGCTAGAGTGTACACCAAAGAAATCTTTTAAATCTAACAATTTTAATATCATTATATATGTATGTAGAGTTCCATCTCGTAACAACATCAAGACATGTTACGTTTTTTTTGCCCTCGTTCAACCAACGTGCTCAGGTTGAATATTTTTAAATATTTAAAATAATATTAAAAAATTTTATGTTTTCACTTACGTATTCGTTTCTGTACGCAATAATTTACAAATTTTGCGACATGATGAAACTTTAATGCTGTTCTCATCTAGCTTGTTGTTGTCGAATACGCACAATTGAAGCGAGTGCGGAGCACTCGAGTTTTTCCATCACATTTTCATCGTTAATGTCATCGCGTGTGTCATCGTCAGAAAGAGTCTCCGAATCGTCATTTAAAATTTGAATGGCTTTTATCATGTTTTTTCCATTATCAGATGTAATGCTGTTTATATGGTTTTAGGTTTTCAATAACATTCATTTAAAACATATTTGGCAATTAAGATTTTACCTGAAGACTTGATCGAGGGTTATTCCGTGAAGTGGCTGTTTGATGAAGACATCCTGGCACTTTGGGCACTTCAACTGGGAGATGTGCTTCTTCTGAATGTGCGAGTCCAGTCGTTGGCGCGAGCCGACGGACTTCCCGCACTGGTCGCAGCTGAGTACGGACTCGTCGGTAGTGGAGTCGCCAACGGGCTCAAGACGGGCCTTTTTGTGTGGCTTCACATTGTGGTTTATTTCTTCCAGTTGGAACACATCAGAAATGGAGGATGTGTTCCGTGTGTGTTTGACTTGCTTTTTGCGCTTGGCGGGGTATTCACCATTTGTGGTGACCCCAGAAACACCTATGGGGCTTGTTTTGCCTTTCTTTGCCTTCAACACCAGCCAGGACCGGCGGACAACGCAGCCGACTAGAATCAAAACCCCGCAAGGACCAGCCCAAACCACCTACCAGCGTGCCAAGACTGATCTAGTGGTGAGCGCCGGGGCCAAGGAGTTTAAGAGGACACTACTCAACCAAGAAGGAAGAAGGAAGCATACTCAAACGTCTGGCCACCAACCCCTTACGAGAAAACCAGGTGTCAGCGGAGGATTACCAAAAAATCCAAGAAAATAAAGCCTGAGCAAAAGGCGGTGATCCCAGACATTGAATCGCAATGACACCAAGCGACAGCAAAAAGCGTGAGTCGATGGTCGATGGAAGTAGCACAAACACCGAGCAAGAAGGACAAAACAACCAACCGCGGTACATGGTCTACGTCTTTTGCGGAAATAGTAAAGAATCGGAAGATCATTGGCGTCATCGACCAGAACGATGTAGGCGGCAGGATCCCAAAAAACCCGTGGGGTCTGGTTAGACGGGCACTTGCGACAGTGGCATTGAAAGTGCAGAACGAAAACCCAGGACCGACCCCCGACTGCACAGATGCGGGGTGGTACCAGGGTAACGTGAAGCTGATCGCCTGTGAGGATGAAAGATCTGCAGCGCTTTACAAGGCTGCCATCACCAAGGTTGCCGAGGTCTACCCCGGGGCCAAGTTGACCGTATGCGAGGCTGTGGATATCCCGTCCCGACCGAGGGCGAGGGTGTGGCTGCCGTCTGAACCCTTTGAGCTAGAAACTATTATCACCCTCTTGACCAGGTTCAACCCGAAGCTTCCGACAGAAGGTTGGAAAGTGGTTAGACCCTTGCAGCGCAACAGAGCCGACGGAACTATGGGTTCGCCAAGGTGCAACTCCGCATCTGTGATACGGACAAGCTAGTGGCGGACAACCTGGCTGCTTGCGCGTCCTACGAACCCCCGAGTGATGACGATATGGAACACGTGCAGACCAACCACACAGGGTACGCGTCCACCGATTCGGAGCTCACCGAAAACCTGAAGCAGCTGTGCACACAGGGCACGACCGGGGCGCGCTGTGCTCCAGGACATAGTGAAAGAAGCGGAGAGTACCCAGTCCGAGTTCAGCCCTCAAGACGGTGCAGTATCTACAGATTAATCTGCATCACAGCAAGGCAGCATCTTCTGCCCCTCTTCTCTGGGTTATAGCAGTTAATAAGTTCCTATCACTTCTAGAGGAAGCGGGCACTAAAAAGGCAGCCTACGCGGAAGACGTGGTTACCCTATTACAAAGAAAATTTTCTCAAACTCTTTGCAACCTGATGGAGACATCCCTATCCACCCTCTCCATGTTATAGCTTGATCAACAGAAATTATAATAGATTACATTTGCACATAACGTAGATTATTAATTTATTAGATTTAAAATATAAATCATTTCAGTTTCGCTGCCGTTCTTGTGGGCGTGCCGTGGATGTAACCCCTTCAATTGAGAACATGCCACGGGAGAGATCCGATTCCGATTGCGCAGATGAAAGCAGGTCGAATGGAGTGGCCATCCACAAATGAAAATACCTTCGCCTTGCCTATCGAAAAATTCCTAAAATACCGAATTGTGGGATTATAGACTTAAACCAGATTTTCATTATTCGGTATTTAGCATAGCTCGCAAATATGTACGTCAAATTAGCGCCGGTAACTTAGCGGCGATGGCAGAACGGTGGAATCTGGAACATGGGGCCAATTTTATTTTTTTGATTTTCTCGCCTTTTTGGAGCCGAATCGAAAAATATTAAATGCAGAATGGCTTAGAATGAACATATCTAGCTTGCAAACATATCCGACTTCTAGAAATCTATTAGAAATCTATTTAAAATATCGGGTCCCCCAATTTTGTTTATTGCTCCCCCACAGAGGTTGTACCAATATGCACGGTAAACCTGGTTATTGGGTGTTAATTCAAACTTTTTGTCAGAAAGTATCATTGAGCTAAAGCAGTCAGTTTTTGAGAAAATCGCTTAACAGTGAATGCACCTCGGATTTTCCCCATACAAAAAAGGGGGGCAAATATTAAATTTCACAGGGCTCCACTCTCAGACGTTGTACCAACATGCACGGTATATTGGCAGATTGGGGATCGCCTAAAGCAAGTTCAGTGAAAAAATCATAAAAATAAAGCCGTCAGTTTTTGAGAAAACGGCTTTACAGTGGGGGAAGATAAATAATTAAAAGAAGTGTCGTTAAATATAAATTTGAACCAGAAAGTTCCAAGACATAAACCACTATGTAGAAAATGTATTCAGGACACCAACCATGTGGGAAAAAAATTATGTTTCGACGCTATCTCTATTTTCAATAATTTTGACTTTCATAGACGTTGTACCAACGTGCACGGTACCGCGTTGGAAAGGAAATTAATTTTATTAATTAACTAATGCTCGATATTTCTCTTAGTGTATTTTATAAAAAAAAATATTGTAATGCAGATCGGTGGAAAACAGCATTTTTAGCTGACCCCGTTTAAGGAACTCAGAATTTGTACAAATTTTACGAATTTGTCATATCTTACAAAAAATAAAATTAAAAAAACTCGATATTTCCCTTAGTGTATATTATAAAAAAATTATTGTAATGAAGATCGGTGGGAAACAGCATTGTTTAGCTGTCCCCGATAAGGAACTCAGAATTTGAACAAAATACGCGAATTTGTCATACCTTTTTTTTTGAAGTTTGTGGGCGCTAGAGTGTGATAGGGACGATGCTGAAGCAAACTTGCGCTGCGTAAGAAGCTCAGGAATCTGCATGCCAAATCTTATAGCTCTTATAGTTTCCAAGATTTCAGCGTTCATCCGGACGGACATGGCTAGATCGACTTGGCTAGTAATCCTGATCAAGATTATATATACTTTATGGGGCCGAAAACGCTTCCTTCTGCCCGTTACATACTTTCCGACGAATCTAGTATACCCTTTTACTCTACAAGTAACGGGTATTAAAATAAAAATTCGACGCATTTATTTTTGATATTTATTTATTTATTGATTTATATTTATTGGCCAGCAGCCTTGTCGGCAGCCGCCTCCTGGCTAGCCGCCTCCTGACCAGCCGCCTCGGCCTTCTTGCGGCGCTTTCGTGGCTTTTTGCCCTTCTGCTGTTTGCGTTTTGTGGGGCGAGCCCCCCCTCACCATTGTCTCCAACGACAAACTTGTCTATATTCTGTAAATGGGATGAATAAATTATTTATAGTTAATTGTAATTAATAAATATAAATAATTTACGCATTTGATTAGCAGCACCTTCATTCCCGCGTTCCCGCGAATCGGGAGTGATGCCACACTTTCAGCTTGCCTTTATCGAAGTATCGATATAGGGTATCGATATAAGGTTAGTGTGTTCCTAGTTACAATTTTGGAACAATTGAGATGCCCACAACGCACTATGCGTTTTTCTTAAAAACTGACGGCTTTTCGTTTCCGTACCGCTTTAGTTAATTAGTGAAATTAATTTCCTTTCCAACGAGGTACCGTGCACGTTGGTACTACGTCTGTGAAAGTCAAAATTATTGAAAATAGAGAAAGCGTCGAAACATAATTTTTTTCCCACATGGTTGGTGTCCTGATTACATTTTTTTCACAGTGGTTCATGTCTTGGAACTTTCTGGTTCAAATTTAAATCTGACAACACTTCTTTTAATTATTTATCTTCCCCCACAAAGCGATTTTCTCAAAAACTGACGGCTTTATCTTTATGATTTTTTCACTGAACTTGCTTTAGGCGATCCCCAATCTGGCAATATACCGTGTATGTTGGTACAACGTCTGAGAGTGGAGCCCTGTGCAATTTAATATTTGCCCCCCTTTTTTGTATGGGGAAAGTCCGAGGTGCATTCACTGTTAAGCGATTTTCTCAAAAACTGACGACCTTAGCTCAATGATACTTTCTGACAAGAAGCTTGAATAAACGCCCAATAACCAGGTTTACCGTGCATATTGGTACAACCTCTGTGGGGGGGCAAGCATATTGAAAATTGCTTGAAATGCGTGGCGTTTTTCCCGAAAACTGGAAAGTCAGAAGGTTTCCTAAACAGTATTCTAAAAGGGGATAAGCCATTTTAACTATTGCATTTAGATCATTATGGACCAGTAGCTAAAGGTAAGGCGAATAAACACATCTTTCCCATTGTAGATGGGATTACTAAATTTGTAAGATTGTACACAACTAAAACGACAAATACAAAAGAAGTTTTGAAAGCATTAAGCGACTACTTCAGGGCTTATACAACCCCAAAGTCAATTGTTTCAGATAGAGGCAGTTGCTTTACCTCTAATGAAATCGAACAATTACTGTGGAAAAGAGACGTAAAACACTTAAAAATAGCTACTGGATCCCCACAGCAACTGGGCAGGTTAAACGAATAAATAAAAGCATTGGTCCTATGATTGCAAAACTTACGGAACTTGAAAACGGTGCGCATTGGGACACAGTACTTGAGCAAACAGAGTATACACTTAATAACACTGTACACAGAAGTTTTAAAGAAATCCCAAGCAAAATGCTTTTTGGTGTGCAACAGAAGGGTGAGATTGTAGATGAGCTAAGAGAAGGACTGGAAGTTATACGGGATACAATTATTACAGAAAGTTTAGAAGTGATTCGAGTAAAGGCTATGTATAATCAAAATCAAGCGCAGGCATGCAATAAGACTTATTTTGACAAAGCAATGAAAAAGGCGAAGGATTATGCAAAGGGAGTCTACTTTATGGTGAAAAATTTTGTAGTACAGCGGGAGTGGCAAAAAAGTTGATACCCAAGAATAAAGACCCATACATTATAGCAAAGATACTTCACAACGACAGATTCTTGTTGAAGGATGTTAAAGGCTTCAAAGTCTCTCAAAATCCATACAAGGGTGTTTGGAGTGCTCAAAACATAAGACAGAGGTTCAATATAACATGTAAAGAAACATAAGAATATTGTAATTAGGTTTAACTTTAGTCCGAAGTACATCAGGATCAGGAGATCCAATACGCAGGATGGCCGAATTGTACTAGGCTCATCGGATGGTCACATTATTACCGATAACTCTGGTAAGAGAGACGAATTGATAGTTTTTAAGCAATCGCTACGAGAGGCATTCTTGTGTGAACAGTCGAGTGAAACGAGCGTTCTAATAAATATTAATGGCACTTTGGTCACTTCAACTGGTAGATGTGCTTCTTCTGAATGTGCGAGTCCAGACGTTGGCGCGAGCCGACAGACTTCCCGCACGGGTCGCAGCTGATTACGGATTCGTCGGTAGTGGAGTCGCCAACGGACTCCAGCTGGGCCTTTTTGTGCGGCTTCACATTGTGGTTTTTTTCTTCCAGTTGAGACACATCAGAAATGGAGTCTGTGTCCTCGGATTTGACTTCCTTTTTGCGCTTGGCGGGAGATTCACCATTTTTGGTGACCCCAGAAACATCTAGGGGGCTTGCTTTGCCTTTCTTTGCCTTCTTAACGGGCAAGAGCGGAGCGGACATGAGCCCACCAACCGTAGACTGATCGACTTTCAAGGAGGTATCCTTACTAGACTTTTCTCTTATAGTCTTCTCCTTCCTAGGCCCTCGTCATCCTCAATAGTGTTGTACCTCTGAAAACTACCCTCAATATCAACTTCCTCATCCTCTTCTTGCAGTATCTTTCGCTTGCTGGACTTGCCCACCTCGGCACCATCGCTATGAAGAGCCTGGTTCGAGCCTGGCCCCGGGGTGTCAACTGCTTTCTCTTGGCTGAGCACTGTTTTTTCTTCTGACTCTATTGACATGTCCTTGGGCTTAAGGAGGGTGACTTTGGGATCCTGGGTGTCATCTGACTTCTCCTGGCTTACTACTTTTTCCTTTTTTATCTCCACCTCAGTTGGTTTCTGCTTAGACTTGCTCTCCGTTACCGCTTCTGGCATTTTGTACTTCGGCTTTACTTCCTTTGGCTTTTGTTTCTGCGTTTGAGTCTCAGGCACCTTTGGCTTCTTAGTCTGCGCCTTTGGCTCCTTTGGCTTTGGATCGGCTTCCGATTCCTTCGGCTTTCCCTTGTTATCCTTTGCTTTAGTCTTGGCCTCGGACTCGCTTATTAAAATGGGGGAATGGACGTCCCGCACATGATCCTATATGGTCTTTAGCACTCCAAAGGTCTTGGTACTCATGGGACAGCTGTATATGCGGGCACGCTGTTGGCCTTGCTCCTTCAGCATGTGTTCCTTCATGTGATTGGGGAACCTTGTGTGGAACTCGCACTCAGCGCACTGGAAGTTGATAGTATTGATCGTGAGGTAGCCAGCTTCGGCTTCCTCCTCTTCCTCGCTCTCGGTCTCAAATTCCTTTTCCATGGCATCATCGCCGTTGCCAAAGAGATTTAGGAAAGCCTTTTTGGAGGACGACACATCCAATTCATAATTCGCTCTTTCAGTAAATGGTCGAGTTTTTGTCTTGCGCTCCGAATTTTTTTTCTTTTTGTCCATAAACCATTGGGGCTTCATTCATATTTTCTTGCATTTATATATCTTTTTATGTTCCTAACAACATCCGATCGCTTTGCGAGTGCATAGTGATTATCGCAATGCAATCGACATGAGAAGTGGCTTGCGCTACTATTGTGATGAATGCATTGCTTATGAAACCCAGGCAATCTCTTTAAGGTGGCTTACAAAAAGCAATGTTACGGAATTAATCCGGGTCTGCAGCACAGCAGTCGTAACCTGTGTACCGCAGCAGAAACAAATTTTTTTTTCTCGGTTGACTCCTGACCTGTCATCCCTGGACATTACGGTCTATATCCGTAAAAAAAGTTCAGATTGATGATCTAAAGGTTGATCGATTTAATATTCCATATGCTAGGGAAGTATCATCATTTAAGATCGGTGTTCCCTGTGCTCATTTTGCAACTATGTGCTCAGGCAATTTTTGGCCTGTAGGCATTTTTGTAAAAGAGTACGAAGCTAAAAAAAAGAATATTCGTTCAAAGGAAGTTGGAAATCCCTTTAAAGAGCCATCTACATCTGCATCTTCATCCATCTCAAAACTAGAATCTTTTCTTCAGCTTTCCTATCAGAATACAAGACGTTTTCCAAGTAAGTTGACCAAATTGTATACACATAGTTTTTCCTTGTCTTCCCATGTTGTTGTGTTTACAAAAACCTGTTTAAAACCGGAAATTCTTACTTCAGAAGTTTTTCCAAGTAAGTACACAACTTACAGGCTTGATCGTCCGTCTCGACGTGGAGGTGGAGTTTTAATTGCAGTTGACTCAGAATTAACGTCTGAAGTAATATCGTCCGACGAAATAAATGACATTGAATTTCTGTGTATAAAACTATCTCTTCCGGGTATACATAACATATATACATATGCGAATCATCTGCCCGCTATCCAGTTTATTTCAAGTAAACTATCAGATAGGGATCAGTTAACAGTTTTAGGTGACTTTAATATACCAAGGGCCACATGGTCCACCGTCGAAACATCAAATATATTGTTACCTTCAACGCAGCATTATTTTCTTGACGGTTTGCTTGATATTTCATTGTCTCAAATAATGCTGTTTCCAGTCCAGATTGTGTTTGCATAGCTAGAACCTCTGCAATTACTTTACCAGAAGACCCATATCACCGAACGCTAGAGCTGAATATTGACACGGGTATATGTATATTTTTTTTTGAAAGTATTAAAATGAGTGCCCCAAAACGGTTTTGCCTATACACGAGCGGTATGTATGATATTTTTCTTACATTTTTTAGTTAGTAACCTTTTAAATTTTTAGAGGAAACATAGAGGAGCTTCTGGCGGAAGTAAGGGGTATCCACCAAAGCCAAAAAGCCCATACAGAGGCAGTGGGCACCCTAACCGCCTACATAAGGCAGTCGGGCAAGGTGGGGGGACCAAGATAGTGGAGACCATGGACCGCTTCTTTCCTCTTTGCACAGCCGAGGACCTCCACGGAATCGACACTAAAATAGTGGACGGAAATTTCAAAAACTATGTAAGTTATATTCTTGTTTTTTAATTATATTTATTTCGTAGTCGAGGCTTTCGTTCATAGCTTTACTTCTCCTTTTTTTTAATATTTTCTTATATTTTAAGACAAAGCTGATGGTAACGCTTCTTAAAAATGGAAGGCTGAGCCGTTCCATTCTGAACGTGCTTTCAGAGGAACTTGTTCTGTCCCACAACTTGAAGGGGGGCTAGAACAAGAAGAAGCTGAAAGTCTACCCAAATTTCGTCCGAGCCTTATTAAGTAAGTTTTTATTGGGGCCGAAAGTAACTATTGTTTGTAAGTTTAATTTTTAAAAGACTTCTGTGGCTTTTACTTTAAATGACAAAGATAACGTATCTTTTATTATAAATAAAACTTACAAATAACGATTACTTTCGGTCACTCGTTTTTATTCTAGTCTCGTTCTATTTTTAAAACAAATTTTTTTCTAATACGAGATGCAATCGCTCTGGTGTAGCCCTCGGAGCCCCCCGAAAAGGCGTTGCAGAAGGCAATGCGTAAAGAATTTATGCTGCACTAAAAAGAAGGCAACGCAGACACCAGATGCTGGCGAGGAGGTGACAACGACTCCGTTAGAAATACATCTAATCCAAATCCGAAACTACAAGGATTTCAATTTCAAACACAATGCCTTTTGGAAACTTAGCCAAATAAAAAATAGTAGTAATAAATTTAGATTAAGTTGGAAACTATTCCAATTAAATTTTCCTAGATAAAACATTTCAACCGCATGTTTCATTAAGTGTTCAAATGAGTAATAAAATTTATGTTTTTGTAAGAAAAACGATCTTACAATCACTGGCTACTCCGAGAGGCCAAAGCGATCGGTCCACCGTTTAAGAGCACCTCCTGTATACGCCACTTTAAATTTGTGAAGGTATCTTTTGTAATACTAATGATTGTGGACTGCAGATTTAGGAGTGGTGAGTGGTGGTGAGTGGTGGTGGTTGGCCAATCTCATCCAGATGAATGCAGCGAGGAATAACACTTAAAGGTGATGTACGATGAGACGGATACATCGGATTACATTGATACCGACAGTGCATCTGCAACCTCGTCTTCCACTTACCGGTGGACTTTTGTCCATATATATAAAATACGCCCATCCGTGTGAACTTGATCGAAAGCGTTTTCCAATTTGTATAACTCTCTAAGTTTAAGTACGTGCAACCAATGTCTCAAAAACTTACCAAGTCCAGAATGAAACGGGCTTGAAACCGAAGGGGTTCTGATTTGTCCCAGTCCACTTTGTTTCTAGAAAATAATAATGAAATTCAATCAAACTAAACCTTGTTTGGAGGACTGCCAGCAGAAAGATATTAAAAAAGGGCTGGCAGAAAATGTTGCCTACGTAGATAACGAATCAAAGGACTAAAAAAAGAGTACATTATAACAAATTCAAAATTTAATTCTAAGTAAAACCGAATGCTGTTGCTGTAAGTGACTAGCGAAAGAGTGTAACAAAAGTTCACACCGTTAAAAAGACTTATCAATAAATATAAAATACGCAGCATAGCTGCGCAATGAACAAATTCACCCAGCAGCATTCGAACCTGACTGGCGTGCTAGTCAAAATTTTAACGATGGGCAAACCTGGATATCGACAAGTCGATAATATAAGAACTATCGATATAATACAAATTATACAGAAATGTGCCTACTAGAAAATATGCCAATTGCAACAACAATTCGATAGATTCACAATCAAGCTCACCAAGGGGTTTAAGGGGCTACCTATACGCCCTGCAAGCATTTTCTATCGCGGAAGGCACTATTAAGTGACTTCAAGAAGATGAAAACGATCGTCCGCGATATCGCATTCGGATCGCGGAAGTGACTCCCGTCGGGAAGAAATGTGCCACTTCGGCGACACTTCTCGAAGTCACTTCTGCGTTACTTCTGGAAGTGTCGCCGAAGTCACTCCTGGAAGTGTCGCCGAAGTGACTCCGAGAAGTGTCGCCGAAGTGGCACATTTCTTCCCGAAGGGAGTCACTTCCGCGATCCGAATGCGATATCGCCGAAGTAACTTCTGGAAGTGTCGCCGAAGTCACTTCTAGAAGTGTCGCCGAAGTGGCACATTTCTTCCCGACGGGAGTCACTTCCGCGATACGAATGCGATATCGCCGAAGTAACTTCTGGAAGTGTCGCCGAAGTCACTTCTAGAAGTGTCGCCGAAGTGGCACATTTCTTCCCGAAGGGAGTCACTTCCGCGATACGAATGCGATATCGCCGAAGTAACTTCTGGAAGTGTCGCCGAAGTCACTTCTAGAAGTGTCGCCGAAGTGGCACATTTCTTCCCGAAGGGAGTCACTTCCGCGATACGAATGCGATATCGCCGAAGTAACTTTTGGAAGTGTCGCCGAAGTCACTTCTAGAAGTGTCGCCGAAGTGGCACATTTCTTCCTGACGGGAGTCACTTCCGCGATACGAATGCGATATCGCCGAAGTAACTTTTGGAAGTGTCGCCGAAGTCACTTCTAGAAGTAACTCAGAAGTGACATAACAGACGCTTGTAGATGATACCTAGAAGATTCTCTCCCAATTGGAAAATCTAAAAATAAAAAATATTCATTTGACTTATTTATCTCGGTTTGCCTTTATTTTTCTTATAAGGGCTTTTGACGCTTGTAAATACGGTCTCTGGCATGTAGGAAATACTGCTGAATAACTTTATTTATGTCCAACTCTGTTGACGTTGGAAATTTACTAACAGCCATTTCTAAAAGGAACAAAAACAAAAATGGGTTTTTATTCAGTCAAAATAAAAATACACTTTGGGGCGTTACCTTTAATAATCGCATATGTTGAGAACATTTGGATGCTGGGTTTCTCCAGAGTTCTCCGCCACGTTATGTCCACAGCCAGCTTGTCCGACATAACTGCTTTGATAGCCAGCCTTGTAAATGTGGGAACATCATTTCCTAAAACCATTTTTAGCTTTGATTTCTAGAAAAAGGCCAAAATTATTTATCAGGTAATTGTAAACGGCATTTAATATAAGTAAATTACCAGTTCTCTCCGCATTTCATCCTCATTCAAAAGTTTTTGGTCGAAATCTTGGAAATCGGGCAGGGTTTCGAAGGGCAGCATTTGAAGATTATTGGCCACAGGCTCCGGAATCGGTAAGGACTTAAGTTGTCTAACTTCGCCACGGAGCATAAAAACCTCCTCCGTAAGCGTTTTCAGCAGCCTTTGGGTACCTTCCTCCCTGCGCCTACTTTCCTCCAATTCTTTTAAAATTTGGTCTTCCCTGTGTCGACTCAGGTCCAGTTCCTTCAATATCCTCTCAAAGAGGTAATCTGAAAATTTTCCAAAAGTTATTAAGACTTATACACTTACTATGGGGCGAAATTGCGTCAAATTGAGACGGATAAGAATTTCCTAAAATATAAAAATTATTATTGTGTAATATGTATACACTCAAAAAACTATTTGCCCCAAACTTTAGAAATCTGCAAAAAAAATAAAGTTTGGGCCGAATAATTTTTAGAGAGCATTAATTTAATTAATTAATTAATTAATTATTTAGTTTCCATACAACTTGTATTTTTGTTTAATTTTTTATGAAATAGTTGGTTTTGGAATATAAATAAACATTAACTGATACAATTAATACTTACCTGCACCGGTGTTAAAATCCATTTTTTTTATTTTCTACACGAAGGGAAAAATAGCGAAAGTGTTTTGTGTGTTTTTTAATATTATTGCTTTGTTTTTAATGTTGCTAAGGTTAAAGCTAATACTTTCATTTCATCATCTCATCTACTTTAAAAATACCAAAATTTGATGAATTGTAAGGTTGATCAAAAAGTGGTTGTAAGTTAATAATAATTTTACCTTCAAAAAACGGAACATTTTCTATCTTTTTAATTTTGTTAATAAGGACAACATTTTCATTGACATAACAAATATTGTTAGGCAAATCAACAGAGAAGTAAAAGTTATTAGTTTTTAAAAAACTATACAGTTCCTCGTTATCAGAAAGTTGTCGACCAAATATTATATCAGCGTTTTTTTGCTTCCTTTTGAGGGTATAACTCTTTACAACATGTCTGTTGTAAATTTGGGCAGCAGCATTGTTTGATTTTTTAACCTGTTTTTTTATAGTTTGTAGGTAATTTTCAAAACGGAAAGCGCTTATTGTTTCCTCGTGAATATGAAGCAAATAATGAAAATTACAAGTCATGAAGCAAGGGTCATATTACGAGGATACTTCTATTACAAAACCTATTAAGAGATTTTGGGCCATTTTAATATCTGCCAAAGAACAATTGCTATTTAACAATATACGTATTGCTAGGGATAAATTTAAAAAGTGTTAAAGTGCCCATAATACAACAAAAATTGTCTAAGTTCCGTGGCTTTGAAACGATCAAGCTCGTCCAAGGACCTAGACTTACGAGAAAATTCGTACGGGCAAGATTTTTTTAAATTTTTTAGTTCGCTTGAAAGCTCACCAATTTTCCATGAGGGTAAGGAATACTGTTCTCCTTTTTTCTTTACCCAAGACTTAAGGAGAGTCCTTACTACTCCAAGGCAAACAATATGCATGTAGTCCAACCCAACTTGTTTAACAATATCGATAGAAAGTATTTCTAAAACAGTTAAATCTTTTTTGTTGTGGTGTTCAGGTTGACTTCTGCTTCTAAATGAGTTGTTATCCCGATGAGGGTCCATCCCAATTTTTAAAAAAGCAACTCGATTTTTAACCATTTCCCCTTTTTGAAGGCACCTTGTGCAAGAATAATAACCTGAATGTCCTTTTATTCCTAAAACAAATGATCGGGCTGGAGCATCCATAATAAAGCATCTGATCCCTAAACTGTACATCTTGTTTTTGTATGCGAACCCAGTTTCGGCAAGTTCCTTTACTTCATTTACAAATTCACTCAGGTATTCGTCAGCGTTTTTCGGCTTTGAATAACCCTCGTAAACACCTATCAACATTACTTCTGGATAACCAGGAACATTACATAATATGGGCCAAACATTTTTTGACGAACTCTTACATAATGGCAAGCCATCAACATTTACATCCATATTTATTATTTCTGACTCATAGTCATTTACCATTAAAAAGTCTGTAAGCGCGTCAGACAAACCGTAATGTGTATAAAAGCCGTCCCCCATATTTCGGGCTACAACTTCTTTAGGAGTTTTTTTCAAGGTTCTAGAATCTTTGGGCACATTCATGTTATTATTTCTTAATATTACCAAAAGTTCGTTCAAAACATTATTGGCAATGTTATTTTTTATGGCCCACCGCCTTAACTGCTCAGCGAAAGTCTCTGGGCTATCGCTGTCACTACTCTCGTCAGAACTAGTATAAATGTTGTCAAAATCTCCATCTGTTTCGTCAGGTAAATCAATACATACGTCAGGTATAGCAACATCTACTTCGTCAGGTGCATTAGTATCAACAATAACAGGCACATTATTACACTCTTTTGTTTCTTTACAAACATCTAAGCATATTCTTTCACACGAGCTGGCAACAATTGTTGACTCCTCAGTCTCGTAAATAGCTGAAAATAATCGTGCAGCTTCACGCTTAGCACGCAATTTAGCAGCCTTTGTTAGTAGGGACATTTTAAAATCGAAGCAAATAAACAAACAAAGCAATATTTTGTAAACACACAAATTTTATACACAGCCGCACTGACCACAAACAATTCGCGAAACGAAGTGACGCTTGGGCGGAAAATAATAGCGTGGGTCGAAAGGGAGAACCGAAGAATTTTCAGAAATAAAGGAATAACGGCAATTTGTCGCGACCTCCTTTTAACGGGCGAGCGTTGTTTTTTTAAATACAGTGAACTATCTATTCAGTGAACCTTTAAGTAACGGGGGCGTTCGCCGAAAAGATTAAGTTCACTAAGGAGGTCGAATTAAATATTTTATTTGATTTCAATTTGCTTAAAAATATATTTTATTCTTTTTTTTTTTTTAATATTATTATGTTTGTTTAAATTGAAATCTAAGGTATAGTTAAAATAAATAAATACTTAAACATATAATTATATACAAAATCTATCAATCTTATAATTATTATTTTAAACATATATTAATATATAAAATAAATTTACTTTATTATTTTGAACAAATATAAAAATATATAAATAAATATTTGGTTCCTTTAGAAAGGGTTTACTGTTCTGTTTTGGTCGAGCACTGTACCTGCTGAGATGCAGACTGGACGCCAAGAAAATAGACAAAAAATTACAAAAACAAAATACATGTTTTCCAAATTTCTTTCTATCTTCTTTTCAACATCTTGAAGTCATTTAGAAGACAAATTTTGTTCGCAATAATTTTGTTTTTGTAAAATGTGTTTTATCGCCGTTTTATCGCGCAGAAGTGTCTCAGAAGTTACTTCTTCGCGATCGCGACCCTTTTTGTTTTTGTAAAATGTGTACTATCGCCTTTCTATCGCGGCCGGACCTCTATCGATTTCAAGTGCCTTCGGGAGTGCGGCTTATCGGAAATCAAAAAGTTGGTAAGCTTATTTGATTATCTTGTCGCTAAACAAAGGAATTTCAAGAATGTCGACGTACAAAAGTTCTGATATCAACTCTTAGAACGAAAAATTATTTTACATTCGACAAAACAAAAACACTATCTACACATTCGAAAGTTAATCAGAAAAATTTAAATTTCTTGTGTTATTTTAAAATAAAGCATTAGCATAGTTTTCACTTTTAACATTTAATACCGCTTCCTTAATAAACCTAATATTTATAAGGCACTGGAAAGCCGAGTTCTACTGGTAACATTGTGTCCTTGGCGCAACTTTGTAAGTTTGGCGCAATGATAAAAGCTGTTGTGCCGTTTCAAATGTATGTTTTCATCAGAAATTTTTTTTTACCCTTTACTCGTAGAGTTAAAGGGTATACTAGATTCGTCGGAAAGTATGTAACAGGTAGATGAAAGCGTTTCCGGCCCTATAAAGTATATGTATTCTTGATCAACATCACTAGCCGAGTCGATCTAGATATGTCCGTCCGTATGAAAGCTGTGAACACAAGAAGGCAGTAAGAGGACCGAAAATTTGTGCACGTAACAGCGCTGTAAATCTTTCTGTTTCACCATTAATCTACAACTAACTTTCGTGTGGCGAAACCCGTCTGCCTAGAGCGATTTTTTGCGAATATTCGAAGCGTATTCCAATTTTAAAGCGGTCATTATTTAACATTTTAACTTAACTCTTATCAATTTTTAACTTAAAAGTTTGTAATGGGTACCTGATAGTATTTTTTTTTAAATTGCTTAGAAAGGCCATTGTGCAAATTGAAACCGCCCACATCTAAATTTCCGTGACCTACTTTAAAGTTTTTCTGATCAGCTTATATTTCCTCTTGATCCGTAAAGTATATTAAAAAATATTGGAAAGATGTTTGAGATAAATAAATACCAAATAAATAAAGTCAATCGAAGTACTACAGCCGGAGAAACAGATGTAAAGCAACGGATATAATTTCTAATAAAATAAATAATTACTTAGTAGTAGTACTAGTACATGTAAAAACATTTCCGCCAAATAAAAAATGTGACCCAAAAATCGGTCTTTTACATACTAAATGTGCGTCAAATTAGCGTCGGCCTGTTAGCAACGAAAACGGGAACGCTGGAATATGGAACATGGGGCCCTTTTTATTTTTAAATTTTTTCGCTATTTGGGGACCAAATCGAAAAATTTATAATGCTAGATTGTTAAGAAAGAAAAGATCTATCGAGCTAGGTAGGTTTGGGACACATACGAGGCCTATTAGTATTTCAAAAATGCATTTGAAAAATCGTGTCCCCACAATTTTATTAACTGCTCCCCTCACAGAGGTTGTGCCAATATGCACGATAAACCAAGCTATTAAGGGTTAATTCAAGCTCCTTGTCTGAAAGTTTCATCAAAATCAAACCCACAGTTTTCGAGAAAATAGCCTAACAGTACCGCAACCTCGGATTTTCCCCATACAAAAAAGGGGGGCAAAAATGAAATTACCTACTGCTCCACTCCTAGAGGTTGTGCCAACATGCACGGTATATGGGTAGATAGGGGATAATCTAGGGACTGTTCTGTGAAAGTTTTATCAAAATCAAACCCACAGATTTTGAGAAAATTGCTTAACAGTTGGGGGTGTTAAAAAGGTTATTAAAAGGCCGTTTAATCCAGAAACGGAACCATTGGATACTAAGACATAAACCACAATGTAAACAGCTTAGCCATGACAATCATTCGACGCTAACTTTCTATAACTTTATACAGCTCTCACAGAGGTTGTGCCAACTTGCACGGTATCGCATTCGAAGGGGCATCATTATAGCTAATTTCTGAATAAATTACAGGCAATTCAAACCCACAGTTTTCGAGAAATTCAAGTCTTTTCAATTATGGCTTTTGCCACGCGGTCACACTGTCAAGGCCTGCGATAAATCGTATGACCCGTGACATCAACCATCAAAATATATATGCAAACTTTAATTAATTCATACAGCTCTCACAGAGGTTGTGCCACCTTGCACGGTATCGCATTCGAAGGGGCATCATTATAGCTAATTTCTGAATAAATTACAGGCAATTCAAACCCACAGTTTTCGAGAAATTCAAGTCTTTTCAATTATGACTTTTGCCACGCGGTCACACTGTCAAGGCCTGCGATAAATCGTATACACCCGTGACATCAACCATCAATATATATATGCAAACTTTAATTAATTCATACAGCTCTCACAGAGGTTGTGCCAACTTGCACGGTATCGCATTCGAAGAGGCATCATTATAACTAATTTCTAAATAAATTACAGGCAATTCAAACCCACAGTTTTCGAGAAATTCAAGTCTTTTCAATTATGGCTTTTGCCACGCGGTCACACTGTCAAGGCCTGCGATAAATCGTATGACCCGTGACATCAACCATCAAAATATATATGCAAACTTTAATTAATTCATACAGCTCTCACAGAGGTTGTGCCAACTTGCACGGTATCGCATTCGAAGGGGCATCATTAAAGCTAATTTCTGAATAAATTACAGGCAATTCAAACCCACAGTTTTCGAGAAATTCAAGTATTTTCAATTATAGCTTTTGCCACGCGGTCACACTGTCAAGGCCTGCGATAAATCGTATGACCCGTGACATCAGACAAGGAGCTTGAATTAACCCTTAATAGCTTGGTTTATCGTGCATATTGGCACAACCTCTGTGAGGGGAGCAGTTAACAAAATTGTGGGGACACGATTTTTCAAATGCATTTTTGAAACACTAATAGGCCTCGTATGTGTCCCAAACCTACCTAGCTCGATAGATCTTTTCTTTCTTAACAATCTAGCATTTTAGATTTTTCGATTTGGTCCCCAAATAGCGAGAAAATTTAAAAATAAAAAGGGCCCCATGTTCCATATTCCACCGTTCCCGTTTTCGTTGCTAACAGGCCGACGCTAATTTGACGCACATCAGTTTTACTCATTTCTAAATACGAAATATACCGAATCCCACAATTCGGTATTTTAGGGATTTTGCGACAGGTAACGCCAATGTTTTTCATTGCTGAAAAGCCACTCTGTTCAACCTGCTTCCATCTGCGCAGTCGCAATCGGACCATTCGCGAGGCATGTTCTACATTGGAGGGCTTATAATCAAAAATGCGCCGGCGGAACTAAAATGGCATCCGATCATGATTTTTTGTACTTAAATCCCTGATTTTTATTTAAAACTATAACTAAATTATAATTATGAAAAGAAAGACGGCAGTCCACCGCATTTCCGCGACGCGGTCGTACTGCCCACACTGGCGGCAGACCTGCTTCTCTCGGGCGTACCGACACTCGCTGACCTTATGTTCAAATCCAAGGCATCGGTGGCCCGCGTAGATGCGCACCTGAGAGCGGCAGCGGTAGGAGAACCACTTTATGTAGACTCTCCCGCCGTCGAGAACGGCTAGCGCCTGGTCATCTACCTCCAGAGTCACATTTACTGCGGTGCCATCTGCAGCTAATCAGGGCTTGGTCTCCAGGACTACCGCCTTCTGGAACTCCTTGAGCGTCATCTCGTCGAAGTTTTTCTTCTTCAGCTCCATCATGAACTCATCCGGTCCCACGGAGGTGTCCACATCCTGGACCGTCACACGTGGCTTTGCAGCGGTGTTCCTCGACACCTTTAGGCCCACCTCGGCGAACTTTGCGGAGGCAACGACTTTCGTCATCTCCGCCTGCGAAGGCGTGCGAATGATCGCGCCGCCCCGCTTCAGCTCACGCACCTCGTGCACTCGTACGCCCAGAGCGGGCGCTACCTCCTTGCGGATCTTCTCCGCGATCTGCTTCCCTGACAAGGCCGTTTCGTCGCACGCGACGACCGCCGACCATGTCTCCCGGATCTTTCGCGGTGCGGCTACGGTGGCAAGGGGGGCAACAGGGGCAGCAGGTGAGGCGACTAGGTGCGCGCCTCTAGTAGCGGTGGCTGCATATGAGGCGGCCGAGGCGACCGGTGTCTGCCACTTCAGGCGATCCTCAAGAACTCCAATCCGGATCAGCAGGGCTCCGACGATCTCCTCGTTGCGGTTTGCCAATAATTGCGTCTTGATGCCCACGGTAGGGCTTGATACGTGGGACATCCTCATGATATCCGCACGGATGTCGCCCATCTCGGCAGCAACGGCACCGTTTCCCCCCCCACTCTCTGTCCGAGAAGGATCTTTTCAGTCTGGCAGGTGCCACGAAGGTCCCTTCCTTAGCGGCAGCAGCGACAGCGGCACCGGCAGCGCCAGCTGCAGGGGCGACGGCAGCGGCTGCGGCAGCAGCAGCGGCAGCGTCAGCGGCGGGGGAAGCGGCTGCGGCAGCGGCGGTCTTG